ACAAAATTTTAATATCCATTTTTAATTGAAAAACTCCTTAAAACCTTCCTCAACTTGACCAATACTTTCCTTCAAAAGCTGTTTTTAATGGAAAAAACTTTACATGCAGTTCCTTTAATATCAGGAAAAGGCAAGAATCCCAGCGGTAAACTACTTTTTAACACAATACTAAAGGCTCTGGCTAAAGCAATAATTCAGGAAACATTAAAAGTATAGTTACCATTTTGCTGTTGATTTTTCTTATGGGTTAAAGGAAATCTGAAACAAACAAAAAAAAAACTATGTGATATAGTATGAGAGTTCAGTATATTTTACAATTATAACTTAGGAAATCAACAGCATTTGTCTATATGAGCAAAGCAAGTACAAAAATTATAGAACATAAGATACCATTCACAATACTATAAAAACTATGAAATATTTAAACAGTATTGTCAGGGAAGACCTCTCCAATAATGAAACATTTGGGATGAGACCTGAATGAAATCAGTCAGTCAGGGAGATAACTGAAGGAAGATCATTCTGGTCAGAGTGACTTTGCACCATTGATTCTCTTCTTTTCAACATGAGAATAATTCTTTTTCTATTGAGTTCAGTCATGTTTTAACATTTCAATACTTTATCCTAGTTAAGAAGAAATCTTCAGATAATTCTTTGATAGCCTTGGCATAAAGCAGGGCTTTTTTCCCCTTTTAATTTTTTAAAATATATTTTTTTATTGATTTAAGAGAGGAAGGGAGAGAGGAGAGAGAGATAGAAACATCAATGCTGAGAGAGAAGCATTGATCGACTGCCTCCTGCAAGCCCCCTACTAAGGATTGAGCTGGCAACCTGGGCATGTGCCCTTGACCTGAATCGAACCTGGGACCCTTCAGTCCAAAGGCTGATGCTCTATCCACTGAGCCAAACTAGCTAGGGCAGCCCCTTTTTATTTTATTTTTTAAAAAATATATAATTATATATATATTATTGATTTTTTACAGAGAGGAAGAGAGAGGAATAGAGAGTTAGAAACATCGACGAGAGAAACATTGATCAGCTGCTTCCTGCACACTTCCTACAGGGCATGCCTGCAACCAAGGTACATGCCCTTGACCGGAATTGAACCTGGGACCTTTCAGTCCACAGGTCAACGCTCTATCCACTGAGCCAAACCGGTTAGGGCCCCTTTTTATTTTTTAACAAAACTTATAAGCCAAATAAAAGGCTGATAACATTTCTAGAATGTCAAACCAATATCAGCACAGTAGAAACACAAATGACAAGTTGTATTAAAGAGTAAATATTTTCACCTCTCTTTTCCTCACCCTACACCTCATCTGGCTAACCATTCCCCCCTTCCCCCTTCCTCATCCTTTAATACTCAGCTCAAGGGTCAATACTCACACACAACCTTCCCTGGTGCCCATCAATGGCATCCTTCTTTGATGTACCTACACATTTCTGAGCATATCTGCATCATTGTTCTTACCATAATATTTGGGAATTAATTGTAAACCGGATTTGTATGTGTTAATCTTTTCTTTCCAATTAGTTTGTAAACAACAAAGGCATGGTTTTGATGTGAATAACATGAGATAACGTAGGTGAATTTCTTAAGCATCATTCTAGTCTTCCCTGGGTCTGCTACTTTCTGACTGAGTGACTTTCTTAAACTCATTCCAATTTCACCTTTTGTACAGGATGATAACATTAATACCAATTTTACAATGTTACTCTGAGAATTGAATGAGTTAGTACATTTAAGAAATGTGATTATAACTTGAATGCTTCTCTCATTCCATACTGCATCTAACTCAATGCATAAAAGTAACATGAAAGGTGTTACTTTAATGTTTACATAGGGAATGGTTGAATCCTACAGGGCCTATTTTGTCAGAAGGAAGGCGCCCTGGCTCTGTGGTATGTGGGTGGCTGTCTTTGGAGACACAAACCACAGGAAATCCTTGGGGAAGGCAGACCTCCCAGGGACATTCTGAATGGTAGCATGGGAAATGCAACTTTCAGGGCCTACATGGGGGCAGGCATTCCTATCCCACCTCCCATGCTGTGCTATTTCACACAACAAAAGGGAAGTCTCTGAGGACTCCTGCAGGAGTGAAGTCTACCCTCTCTCCTGCACTACTCCCTGGAGAGGAGTTGATGAAGAACTAAACCTAGTGCTGATGCAGAACTAAACCTAAATTGTCCCAGGCATTCCATTTCCGCTATCAAGGTGGCATTTATCTATAAATGTTGTACAACAGAATCTTCTGCAGAGTCCATCTCTGTATTCAGGGTGGGGCAAAAGTAAGTTTACAGTTTTGAGGATACAAACCAGAGAGTTTATTCTTGTACTATCATTTATTAATTATTGTATTAGTTTCTACTCAAACAATTGTAAGCCTGCCCTTGCCCCACCTTGTATATGTAGTCCAACACAGTAGCCACTAGCTGCATGTGGCTATTGAGTACTAGACATGTGGCTAATCTGACGTAGTAACTGATTTTTAAAATTTATTTAAGATAAATTGAACAGTGCAGTTTTATACAAACATATTTGTCAACTTTTCAAATTATCATTTGATGAGACCCTTTATGTGCTGCATACACTTGTATAGAGTATTTAATACACAGCCTCACAATTTTCCTGGCTCTAATCTACTCTCTACGTAGCAATCAGAGCAGCTGACCAGATCCTTGACCTGCTTAAACACCTGTCCATGGGTTTCTATCTCTTTCAGGACCAAGTACCCCATATATGCATCCTCCTTTTTCCCTGCACCTTTATTTTTTTTGCCCAGCTTAATCCTACTTGGCCTTGAAAATCAAATGCCCTTTCCTCCAGGAAGACTTCCTTGAACATCCCTTTACCTACCCCTCTCCACCGGACTGGTTGTGTGCTCTTCCTTTGGGCTCCCACAGCCACCCAAGCTTTTCCTCAATCAGAACAGTGATCATGTTAGGGTGTAATTACTGATTAAATCTCTTTTCCCTTTTGGACTGTGAGCTCCTAAGAACCATGGACAGTGTTATATTTCACCTCTTTATCTCCAGAATCTGCACACAGTCTGTCTCAGAAAAGAGATCAAAGAATGTTTAAGTAAATCATTCTAAAATGTGTTGGCTTCTGTATTTACTGGAATTATACTTGTCACATCCTTTTTAACCTATCACCCCATTTACGACTTAGAGCACTCTTTGTGGTAGGCAGGGCCTTTGTCTGTTTGCTGGAAAAGGAAACTGAAGCTTAATGGCTATAAGTGATTTATTTGTCCAACATTATAAAGCTATGCAGTCTGCGTTCGAATAGAAACCTGGCTCTTCAAACTCCCTTTGCCTATCTTCCTGTATTCAGTGGAGTTAATTCCTACAGCTCTCATAGTCTTTACCAGTCATTAAGATTGATTTGGGAAACTTAGGTATTTTTATCTTGATTTTTGGTATTGACGTGGCTTGTGAATTTTAAACTGCTCAAATGTGAGGGCTATTTCCAATGGCTATTTTCATGTAACTTCCTATAGAAGATTCTTGTGGTGCCCACACCTTATCCCTAACTTCAGGGCAGGTGAGTCAATAGTTCTATGCATGTTGCCAGCAGCTCACCTTCAAAGCTTTCTGGTCCCTCTGTTTTCCTGACTCAAGACTTTCTCACAAACTCTATAAGGCTCCTTAGCCCTGGGCACACATAACCAGGACATGTGAAAGCTTTCAAACTAGGGGATGGAGGTAACCCTCAGTCAATGGGGATGGAAATTAAGAGGTAAATGACCCAGTTTCCTTGTTCTTTCGTGGGACAATGCTGACACACATTCTACATGGTGCTTCAGAGCTTCTCGGGTGAGATTAAGCACAGTTACTAAAGCAATCAGTTCAATGGCACATTTTTTTCTTGGCTTTCCCCCCATCCCTCTCTCACTCTCTCCACCTCACTTCCGTTTCATGGGTTTACCTCCCAAACACATTGTCAGCAGCCAAGCCCTTTCCCAGCTGCTGCTCCTCCTCTCCTCTGCCTGGCTGACAGCTATTTATTCTTCAAGACTCAGCTAGGGTATCCACTCCTCTCGTAAGTCTTCACTGATTACTCCCACCCTCCAATTTAGTTTCATCTCTATGATCCTGCAGCACCTGGAATACTACTTAACCCCTTTCAAAGCCATTATCTCTTTTCCTTTCTCCACAGCCAGAGCCCCTTGAGGAGGGGGGGCCCAACTGGCAAGGTACTTGTTCAAAAATCAAGTGCTCAGTAAAACTGGTAGGAATGTGCAGGAGTGAACTTAGGAATCATTTTTCATTCCGCAGACATTGAGCACTCACTCTGTGACAGCACTATGCTGAATACAAAGATGAAGACATGGACCCCAGGCATCAGGGTCCCCAGGCACCATCAACTGAGGAAAAGAGAAGTGAATAATGCATAAAACACCATAAGTGTTCGGACAGTGATGCACAAGGAACACTGGACCTCTGAGTGTTTGGGTGGTGTGGGCACAGAATCACTGATTCCTAGGGCATTTCAGCGGAAGAGGTATTACCCAGCACCTCCACCAGGCCAGGCACACGGTGGGTGGGTCAGGTGGAAAAGCGCTGGGGAATCAAGAAGCCGTTCCCAAGCTCCCAAAGTGGAGTAGCACCTGGAGAAAAGCCAGCCCACCCAGCTCTGTGGTCAGCATGAGGACCCCTAGAAGGCCATCCCAGCACATCAGGTCCCCGCGCCCCAGAGGGGGCGGAGCATGCTCAGTAGCCAGGACGCGTGGCTACTGGGAAGAAGAGCCGCTGAGTCCCAGCCCCCAGGATGCCCGGGCCCCGAGGGGGCGGGGCCTTGGGGGCGGGGCCTCGGATGAGCGCCGCTTCCTCCCGCCCTGCCGTTCCCCTACCAGTGCCCCGTTCCCCCCCCCTTCGTCCCCCCTCCCGCCTCGCCACGCGCCCGTCACCCTCCAGTCGGACGCCCGTTGCCCTGGCAACCGTCGCGCCGCGTCTTCCTGGGCAAGCTCCCCTTGGCCCGCAGATCCTATCGCCCGCTCCCCGCTGCCCCGCGATTTTCGGGTGGGCTCAGAGGCGGAGGGACACCAAAAAATGGCGGAGCGGAGCCAGACGGCGCTTGAGGCAGGTCTGTGGGGGCGTTCGGCCAGGGGAAGCACCGAGGCTGCACCTCAGTCCTGGGCCTGAGGGGACAGGGGGCTTGTGTGTGGCCCTGCTGCCGAGGAGGCGCCGCCCTGTGTTTGCGCAATGGGGCTATGACCTCGGGGTCAGGGGTCAAGGGAGGTGCCTACCCCTGGAGCAGCCGGCGGGGACCTCGGGGTCCCGGTGGCGCAGGGGTGTATGGAGGAGTGTGCACACCCCTGAGTGAACATGGACCTAGAAAGGGCTGGGACCCCAGGGAGGACACGGGACTGATGGGGGCTCATCATAGGGGTAGGCTGTGTCCTGGAGAGGATATACACAATCCCGTGGGAAAATGTGGGGGCTCCCTAAAGGGCATGGTCTGGGGAGAGTGGCCCGGATTCTGAGGAAGGCAGGTGTATTTAAGAAGAGTGTTACTTAATATCCAGCAGTGCCATGGAAGGGGTTATACACCGAGTATGTGTGTTTTGAGGAAGCCTAGTGCCTTAGGGTCGCCCCTGGTCACAGAGAGAAGTATACTCACGTGGGAACATAAAAGGACAAGAGCCCCAGTCCTTCAGAACCCTGCCCAAGGAGGCTGGAGCCGGAGTCTGAGTGTGTATGGGGTCAGTGAGCTTGAAGGTCATGCAGAATCCAAGGGGAGCATATCCACAGATCTCTGGGTGGACGATAGTCTTTAAGAGGCAAGAAGACCCACAGGAGGAGAGATCCAGGATCGTGTTCCTGAGGCGACCCCCTTGTAGACATGCCTGTGCTTGGAGAGAGAGTGACCTAAGTCTTACAGGATCATAGAAGACAGTAAGGACTTTTACAGTCCTGTGTATGTGAGAAGGACTTTGTCCCTCAGATGGGCGGGGAACGGAAGAACTGGAGCCTCAATACAAGTGATACCTGGGTGTGTGTAGAAAAGCAGTGGTTTGGGCGATGTGAGTGGTGGTGGGTGATAGAAGTGGTATACAAGATCTTGTATATGTGTCCTGATTAGGTATTTTGGTTACAAGAGTGACCCACTTGAATTATCCAGTCCTTGGGGGTTGGGGAGAAAGGTGGTGGTTTTGGTAAGACCATTCAGTGATTGGAACTAGATTCTAGAAACTATGAAACTATCAAGAATGGTTCAAGTGACCATTATCGCCCAAGACCTGCATGGTTTCTCTTTCTTTTGTGCCATCTTTGTTTCTTCCAAAAAGTAGTTCCTCTACTCAATTCATGGTTTAAGTTCTCTCATAACTTGAACATGCTTATTCCTTCATTCGTTTACTCAATAAATAGTTATTGAGTGCTAACTCTGTGCCAGGAAACAAGTTAGGCACTGGAAACTCCCTGCTTGTAATTTTGTTATCTTGTTCTTCCTCTAACCCTCTCGTAGAATTACTGCCTTCAAATATATTATTTAATGTACTTATTATTTTTATTATTAATTGCCTGTCTTCTTCCACCAGAATGTAAGATCCATGAAGTCAAGGGTCTTTGTTGTTTTTATCAATCCCACATGTCCAAAACTGTACCTGGTATAGAGTAGGTTATTAATAAGTATTGTTAAATGAATAACTAAATGATCTGGTATTGTCTAGAGGTTTAAGAAGCTTTCTCTGAAGAAATGGCATTTTAGCCGAGCTATAATCATGATTGAGTAAAGAGAATGGCAAAGAGTGGGCCAGGAGAGGAAAACCATGTGCAAAGACCCTAAGGTTGGAGGAAACATGATGTGCTGTATTTAAGGAACTAAGAGGATATAGGGCAGTAGGAGGAGAAAAGAGGTAAGCTGAAGCAGATCTTGAAGGGTCTTACAAGCTATGATATAAATTTTGATAAAAAAAATCCTAGGAATAATAGGAAGCCATAGAGAGCTTTCAAGTGGGAGCATGACATGATTAGAAAAAAAAAAAAAATAAAACTCTGGCTTTAGTGTGGAGGGCACAGAAGATACAAGAGTGGACATAGGGAGAATTGTTAGAAGGTAGCAGTGGAGATGGAGAGAAGGAATTAAGAAATGTTGAAGAGATAAAATTAATAGGACTTCATGAAAAATGGAGATGATGAAGAAGGAAGTATCAGGCATACTTCTAATTTTCTAATTTGTGTCGCTGGATAGTTGGTGGTGCCATTATGGAGATAGGGAGCCCTGGAAGGAACCTGGCATAGGTTTGAGAGGGAAGATCATGAGATTGGTTCTGGACATATGGAGTATGAGTTATCTTTGAGATATCCAAATAAGTGGAGAGTTTGGCAAGGCAGTTGAATGAACACAAAAAGTCTGAGCTGGCATAGAAATAATTACTGAACTCACAGTGTGGGTGAAATTCCCATGAGGGAGAGTAAAGAGTGTGGTGAGAAGAGGCCTAGGGTGAAATGTTGGGTAGCTGCATTATTTTAGTGCCTTCCAAAGAGACTGAGAATGTACAACCAGAGAGATAGAGGGCAATCAAACAAATGTTTCAAGATAAATGGCCTACTCAACAGATTGAATGCTGCCAAGTGGTATTGAAAGGATGACTGGAACAATAGATTTAGCATTATTGGTAACCTCAATTGATCAAGGCACCAACCATTTATCTTCTGAATTACTATTAACTGGCTCAATCTTTGTGTCTTAATTCAGATTCCCAAGAGAGAGAATCTGATTGACACGCATCATCTTTTCCGATCAGGTCATGTCATAGATGATAAGCCAGTGTAGGATTGACTGATTTTGGATTAGGTGTCCAGCTATTGCTGGCTGAAGTAATCTGATACAAAATATGTCTTTCAGGTGATTTTTAAAATCTAATTAGCAATAGCTAACATTTATGGAGTGTTTATTATGTGCCAGACATTGTACTAAGTGCTTTATATGTCTTAATCTACTTCAGCATTATAACTACTTTCTAAGGTAGTATCTCTATTTAATAAATAAGTGAAGAAGTTTTGGCACAGAGAAGTTAAGCAACTTGCCTAAGATCTGCAAATAATTAGTAAGATGGTAGTTTTTTGGCTATTTTAGCATTATCTAGATTTATTATTTGGCTTTCTATTTGTATTAAAATATACAACATACTGAAGAAATAATAGCCACGATGAAAATTCCTGCTGTACAGGAAATATTCTAAGCTAAGCATACATTAGCAAAGGAGAAGTAGAAAGAAATATGGCTCAGATCCTTATTTAAATTCTGTTTCTGTGACTTACTAGATGTTGACCTTGGATTCAAATATTCTGGTCAGTTTCTTCCTCTGTAAAATGGAGATGATATTTGTAGGATAGTTGTAATAATAGAGATAATATATCTGAAGAGCCTAATAAATATTTTCCCTCATTCCACTGAAGCTTGAATATAAAATAATTCAAATGTATTATATATACTTTACATATAAAAGCAAGCTTTAAACATCAAGTAATATTAGACATACTTCTTTTTGATTTTTCTTCATTGATATAATTGATTTGCTATCAGAAGAAAGGTAGACATCAAGTTCTGGAGAATGTAGAATTGTCTGAATTGTGTTCATGGGACATGCCTTATATAAAGTGTATTTTAAAGATTTATTGAAGGAGTACACGGACACAAACTTTTTTGGTCATGCATATAGATAGCTCTTATAGAAAGGTCAGATTGAGAAAAGAAAGTTTCTTCTTTTAAATATTGTACTTTAAAACAAGGACATGAATGTCAGAATTTTTCTCCCTGTCCAACAACTTGACTCTTAAAAAAAGAAACCTTATAGTTAATGAAATAATCAGGTAATATAGTGATTTAAATTAAAGTTAGTTATTTCAGTAAGCCAATATTTTGCCATTTGTTTCTTTCAGGCTCTTTATATATATCTTGTATTATCTCACAAAATTCTTGCAAGGGGATACAATTATTGAAGCTTTACATCTGAGAAAATTAGGGTTCAGAAAGATTAAGTGGTGTAACTAAGATTTCACAACCAATAATAACCCACCTGGCTCTAACTTCCATACTGATAGGACTACTCTACTCTGCCTCCTGGCTTTATTTTCTGGGTATAAAATCTCATTAATGATAGGAGGGGATGGCACGCTGTAGAACTTAAAATAACACCAATATTCTTACGTAGAGGAAGACAAATGTATTAATATGGTAAGTGCTCATTTGTTTCTAATTACTCTAATCATGGGGTTAATGAAGTTTCTCATTTTAGACATCTCTCTATACTCATGGAGTAAATTAGTAATAGGTAGTAGAGACAAAAATAGCAGTTAACATATGCTTGCTGCGTAGTAGGCATTTGATAACTATTTGTGGCCAAATGAATGAAACATTTTTTATCTATATATTTTTATGATTTAAATATTTGAATTCAGGATATTGGAAGCTGAGGATGTTGATGCAAATGAAGGGGAATATGGAGAAAATTTTGATATTTTACAAAACAAAATTTCCTAAATTGAATACAATACAAACAGAATTGGTGAATTGGTGATGGAATAAAGCTCATTTAAAACTTCATTTGGAAGTGTCTGTCTCATTAGGAAACATGACACAGTAAATGTGACATGGGTTTTGGAATTAAACAGATAAGATTTAAAATTCCAACTTTATCACTTACTGTGCTTCTCTGAGCCTCAGTTTTATTCATCTTTAAAATGGTGATGATACTAAGTCTTTACTCAGTAGGGTTCTGAGGGTCTACATAATTTACATGATAGAGTAGAAATTCTAACTCACTGGATTAATTAATACCTTCTATTCCCTGAGACATGCAGCTTCATATATGTTTAAAGAGCCTCTCTGATCATGTAGCTAACTCAGGTACTGAGGGAAAGCAACTTTATAAATGTGCATGGGTGGGACTTGTGTCCTAATGCCATAAATACATTAAGAACTTAAAATACTTTTAATTAAAACTGGAAGTATTATCCAAAGCAATATTATTCCAACTTTCTATTTTACTAATGTCATTACCAGTGTACCACCACAAGAACAGCAATGATTATGAGAGATGCTAGTAAAATGTTTGCATCTGATAAAAATGGTTGAAA